ATAATTTTCTTAAACTTTTCTTAAATTACATATCATATGTATAAAGCAATATATTTTTATTATCATTGTCATTATTATTGGAAACAGTTGAAATTGAACTTTCCATAGATTTTAAATTGAACTATTGGATATTAGAGTTGTAAATCAGTTTATGAAGATATTGAAAATGATAATTTTTAAACTTTATATACTTAAACTATGTATCATATATGTAAAGCAATATATTTTTATTATTATTGTCATTATTATTGAAACAGTTGAAATTGAACTTTCCATAGATTTTAAATTGAACGATTGAAGATTAGGGTTGTAAATCATGTTTGTGAAGATATTGAAAATGTTAATTTTTAAACTTTTCTTAAACTATATATCATATGTGTAAAGCAGTATATTTTTATTATTATTGTCATTATTATTGGAAACAGTTGAAATTGAACTTTCCATAGATTATAAATTGGACGATTGGAAATAATGAAAAAATTTCGTTTAAATCAATCTATGAAGATTGGAAATGATAAATAAAATAATTTTCTTAAAGTTTTCTTAAATTATATATCATATGTATAAAGCAGTATATTTTTATTATTATTATTGGAAACAATTGAAATTGAACTTTCCATAGATTTTAAATTGGATGATTGGAAATAATGAAAAAATTTTGTTTAAATCAATCTATGAAGATTGGAAATGATAAATAAANATAATTTTCTTAAACTTTTCTTAAATTACATATCATATGTATAAAGCAATATATTTTTATTATTATTGTCATTATTATTGGAAACAACTGAATTTGAATTTTCCATAGATTTTAAATTGGACGATTGGATATTTCGTTTCGCAACGATTAGAAATGTAAATCTATGAAGATATTGAAAACATGATACACAATAATTGTCTTAAACTTCTAGATCAAAATTCAAATACTTCTCTTTCACGAATTTTCTTTCTATCGTTTTCAAATTTCTACAAATTATTTTATTAAATATTTGCAACAACTTTTTCAACTTTTTTTCAAATTTCGAAACTTTCGTTCTCGAGGTGACCTTCGAATGACATTGAAAGGACCTTGACGGTCAACGATCTTACGTATACGAAATCTTCGATTAATTCGCATTAATATCAATATACTATAGGATGGAAAATTACAA